CTCCATGCAGGGGCGGACTGGCAACTCATGGGGCCCCCGGGCAATAGGGGATCATGGGGCCCCTGTGTCCTTGCCCAAACTCAAAAAAGCCTATGAAAAAGGTACCAGGGGCATCTCATGCGGCCCCCTACTGACCCCAGGCCCTCGGGCAGCACCCCGAGTTTCCAAATGGTCAGTCCGCCCCTGGGTGCCTGGGTTTCCAAAGGGTCAGTCCCGCCCCTGACTCCATGTCGACTCCACTGACTGAGCATACTGAAATCCATCTGAGCATACTGGAAGCAAAGACTCACTGCACACTGTCAGCCTCTCACAATGTGCATTAGAAGCTGCAGAAAGTCAGCCTGAGCCTGCCTCATTTTCTGGCTGGAGGACATCCATCATCATCTAGCGCTTCCCTCCCCAGCCTTACCATCCCTAGCACACCGCTTTCATTCACTGGATTTCATTTCTTTCAATCATGGAGGCTCAGCATCATGTGTGGGCATACGCAGGGTGGCCTCAGCATAGTATGTGGACTTTACCCAGGGTGATCCGAATGCAAATACAGCCTGCACCCAGAGTACGTTCAGGGACATGCACCCACATGGATGTCACATGTGGACACAGCAGCTTTATCCGTGTAGCCGCTTGTCCCAACAGACATCTATGGGACTCCAGTATAGGGATGCATGCAACAGCTGTGCATCCCGTGCTGGTAGAGGACGGCCCTGCTCAGGACATGCGTGTGAATGCGGCCTTACCCCCAGTTCACATCTATGTGGCCATGCGGACCGCTTTTTTCACGGGTACGAGAGCCCATTCATTTGAATGGACTCCTGTGCCCCATGACACGCAGGGAAGAAGTCCCTTCACTTCTTTGGAAAACGCAGCCGAGGTTCTCAGTACGGTTGCATTTTCCAGTGCGGGCGGCGTGCCATTAGACCTAATGTCACCCGCCCGCGGGTCCACATTTCTCTGTGCGGGTGGTGCGGCTGCACGGATTTTCACGTGGATCCACAGCGGCACCACCCGCACAGATGTGATCCTAGGGTGATATAAGAAATGGGATCTATGACGAGCTGATGGATTACAGCTGGAGGAGGGACATGTCTGCAGGTACTGGATCTCTATGACAGGGCAGAGCACTGAGTGCCCCAACTGCCTGTAATGGGGTCGAAAAAACCGGCGTTTTAAAAGAAAAATAAAAAAGAAAAATCGGTCATTCAATAGGCCGACGTTACCACCAATGGTAAAAAAAAATCGACTGATTTTCGGCCCATCTACGGCCGGCATTTAATTACTTCTGTCCCTGCAGAGAGCTCCGCTATTATATTTGACATTAAAAAGTATAGCAATTGCAACAATGTATCCATTTGTATCTATTTGTATCCATTTTGGATACAGATGGTTTTATTTGACTACAAATAGATACATTGTTGCAACAGCAACAATACTCTTTCATGGCAAATATAATAGCGGACTGGAATTATTTTTCTTCTTCTTGCAGGTCACGGCTCATGCGCAGATTTTTTATCGGTAAAAAGATCGGCCAATTTGCCCATCATTGCTGCGAAAATCGGCCAAAACGGCAAAATTTTATCCAACTTTACCGATAAAAAAAAGTGCCAAAATCCAGAAAAATGGCCGACCAATTAACCCATTAATGGTGCAAAAATCGTCCGATTTTCGACCCATCTATAGCCTGCATAAAGCCGGCCATGCACAGGTCGAATTCCAAACTAATTTCCTTTAGAAAATCTGAAATTTTGTGAATTTTATAATCTGACGGCACCACCATTGATTTTGAAACCAAGCCTTCATTTTCTCCTCAATTTGCTACAGAAAATAATTTTCTTGGCCAAGAATTTTCTTTTCATTCCAGGTCATGGCTCACACTCATTTTTTTTTTCGGTTATATTTCTCGCACGATTCTCCCATCATTGATTCGAAATTCATTGTTTTTCAAAAGATTTCCAACATGCCCGACCACTCAAATTCGGTCACATGAAAATCGTCCGTTTCCATGACCCACTAACGGTGCGAAATTTAAAACGAAAATTCTTAGAAAAGAATTTCGAAAGAAAATTCTTTCAGAATTCGACCTGTGTATGGCCGGCTTAAGGCTCGGTTCACACCTATGCAGTTTGCGTTTGATCCTCTTCAGCATTGCGTTTTTGCACTGGCATTTTTGCCGTTTTTTTTTACATTTTTCTTGTTGCTAGGCAGAATTAAAAAAGCATCAAAAACACACAAAAAATTACACTGAGGTCTATAGAACCAAAAACACAAATTTTGCATTAAAAAAGGGCCCGACCCTTTCCAAAAACATGGTGAGATGTGAACGTGTCCATAGGAAATCATTGTAAATGGACTGTACTGTGTTTCTGCAAAACACTGAGGAAACCGCTCAGATGCAGGGACGGACTGACAACTCATGGGGCCCCCAGGCAATAGGGGATCATGGGGCCCCGGTGTTGTTGCCCAAACTCAAAAAAGCCTATGAAAAAGGTACCAAGGGCATCTCATGGGGCCCCCTACTGACCCCTGGACCTCGGACAGTACCCGAGTTTCCAAATGGTCAGTCCGCTCCAGCTCAGATGTGAATCTAGAGTAAGAGGGGCTTTGTGATTGGCTAGATTTGGAGCCCCGCCCTCCTCCTGTCCATTTGCGAGAACATGATCCCTCTACCTTGTTGTGCCCTCTCCATACCTGAGGCCTCCACACAACATTCCTGGCCTTTGACCTTTATATCCTAATGCAGGCCATAGCTAGGTCGTTTATCAACCGAATTTTCGTCCGCACGAAAAATCGGCCGATAATCACGCCGTTAGTGGGGCCAGCCCATTGGCCATTTTTCGTGGATCTCCTCATTTATTTTTATCGGTCATGCTGAAAAATCCACAAAAAACAGCCGTTTTTCATGGACATGGGTGGCAGCATCGGCAACGGGGCCGACCGATTTTTAGTTTATCGACCGAAAATTCCGCCGATAAACGGCCCGTCTATGGCCTGCCTAAGGAAGGAATGTCCACACAAAGGAGTAGATTTCATGTACTTTACTGATGGAACTCAGGGAATGGTGTAACAGTCAGATCACATCGACATACAGTACTGTGCAAAAAGTTTTAGGCAGGTGTGAAAAAATGCTGTAAATGAAGAATGCTTTCAGAAATCGAAGTGTTAATAGTTTATTTTTACCAATTATTAAAATGTAAAGTACATGAACAGAAGGGAAATCCAACCAATATTTGGGGTGACCCCTCTTTGCCTTCTTCTCGGTAGACTTGCCCACAGTGAAGGAACTCGGCAGGTAGGCTGTTCTCTGTACATCTTGGTGGACTCAGCCCAGATCTGTGGATGTCGGCTGCCTCCAATCCTTCTGTCTCTTTATGTCATTCAAGACCAGGGGCGGACTGACCATTTGGAAACTTGGGCACTGCCCGAGGGCCCGGGGTCAGTAGGGGGCCCCATGAGATGCCCCTGGTACTTTTTTCATAGGCTTTTTTGAGTTTGGGCAAGGACACAGGGGGCCCATGATCCCCTATTGCCCGGGGGCCCCATGAGTTGTCAGTCCACCCCTGTCCCAGACTCCATGATGTGGAGATCAGGGCTCTGTGGGGCCAGACCATCACTTACTTCCAGGTCTTCTTGTTCTTCTTTACACTGAAGATAGTTCTTAAAGGATAAGTTCACTTTTTGTGACCCCATATTCAGTGTGTAGCACATAACATGTTATGATCACACTGGCCCCTGCTCCCCCACTCCCCCCCCCGCTTTGACCAGCTAGTGGGGGACCCCCCCCACTAGTTGTCAAATTTTATAAAAATTGTGAATGAGAGACAAGTATATTAATTTTTGCTGTCAGTATTTATATTATTATACAGGATTCACCCCCGGCAGGGGCGGACTGACAACTCATGGGGCCCCCGGGCAATAAGGGATCATGGGGCCCCTGTGTCCTTGCCCAAACTAAAAAAAGCCTATGAAAAAGGTACCAGGGGCATCTCACGGGGCCCCCTACTGACCCTGGGCCCTCAGGCAGTGCCCGAGTTTCCAATGGTCAGTCCACCCCTGACCCCCGGTTCACATCTCTGTGGCCGTGCAGGCCGCGTTTTGCACGGGCACGAGAGCCCATTCACTTGAATGGACTCCAGTGCCCCGTGACACGCAGGAAGAAGTCCCTGCACTTCTTTAGAAAGCGCAGCCGAGGTTCCCAGTACCGTTGCATTTTCCAGTGCGGGCAGCGTGCCATTAGAACTAATGGCACCCGCCCGCGGGTCCGTATTCCTCTGTGCGGGTGGTGCGGCTGCATGGATTTTCGTGCAGATCCTCAGCGGCACCACCTGCACCGATGTGAGCCTAGGGTTATATGGCGCCAACAGTTTGCTCAGCGCTTTACAATATAACGGGAGACAATACAGCAACAATACAGTTCAATACAAGAGGGTTAGGAGGGCCCTGATCCTGGGAGCTTACAATCTAGGAGGGAGGGGCTAGTGGTACAAAAAGTAATAACTGTGGGGGATGGACTGGTAGGACGAATAGAAGATTCTGTTATTAGCTGAGGGCAGGAAGGCTTCCCTGAAGAGAGGGGATTTCAGAGAACGCATAAAAGCGAGCAGAGTAGGCGACAGTCGGATATATTGGGGTAGAGAGTTCTAGAGGATGGGGGAGGCTCTGGAGAAGTCCTGGAGACGAGCATGGGAGGAGGAGACAAGGGTGCTAGAGAGCAGGAGGTTGTGGGAGGAGCGGAGAGTACGGTTTGGGTGATATTTGGAGACAAGATCAATGATGTAATTTGGGGCGGAGTTATAAATGATTTTTTTTTATATGTTATTGTTAATGTTCTGAATTGTATTCGTTGGGCAATGGGAAGCCAGTGGAGGGATTGGCAGAGAGGGGTGGAGGACACTGAGTGGAGGCCAGTGGAGGGATTGGCAGAGAGGGGTGTGAGGACACTGAGTGGAGGCCAGTGGAGGATTGGCAGAGAGGGGTGGAGGACACTGAGTGGAGGCCAGTGGAGGGATTGGCAGAGAGGGATGGAGGACACTGAGTGGAGGCCAGTGTGGAGGGATTGGCAGAGAGGGGTGGAGGACACTGAGTGGAGGCCAGTGGAGGGATTGGCAGAGAGGGGTTGGAGGACACTGAATGGAGGCCAGTGGAGGGAATTGGCAGAGAGGGATGGAGGGACACTGAATGGAGGCCTATGGAGGGATTGGCAGAGAGGGATTGGAGGTGACACTGAGTGGAGGCCAGTGGAGGGATTGGGCAGAGAGGGAAGGAGGACACTGAGTGGAGGCCAGTGGAGGGATTGGCAGAGAGGGGTGGAGGACACTGAGTGGAGGCCAGTGGAGGGATTGGCAGAGAGGGGTGGAGGACACTGAGTGGAGGCCAGTGGAGGGATTGGCAGAGAGGGATGGAGGACACTGAGTGGAGGGATTTTGGCAGAGAGGGATGGCAGATATGGAATGGTTGGTAAGGTGGATGAGTCTGGCAACATCATGCATGATACACTAAAGAGGGGATAGCCAGCGATTAGGTTGGCCAATGAGGAGGGGAGTTACAATAGTCAAGGCGAGAGAACGGGTGTATTTTGGAGATGTTGCAGAGGTGAAGTCTTCAAGATTTTGGACAGTATATCTGCTTACACATCCCCCGTACACCCCCCCATACAATCCCCTACATCCCGTACATCCCTGGAAAGGGCTACGGGGCAATTGCCAAGTCAGCTTGGTGAAAATAGAACAACTGTTTGGAGCAATTTTTAGAAAATGGAAGAGGCTAAAAACGACTGTCAGTCTCCCTCGGACTGGGGGCTCCATGCAAGATGTCACCTCATCGTGGGGTATCACTGATGAGAAGAAAGGTGAGGAATCAGCCCAGAACTACAAGGGAGGAGCTGGTCAATGACATGAAGAGAGCTGGGACCACAGTTTCACAGGTCACTGTCGGTAGAACACTACGCCGTCATGGTTTCCAATCATGCATTGCACGGAAGGTTCCCCTGCTCCAGTCATCACATGTCCAGGCCCGTCTGAAGGTTCCCGCTCAAGTCATCACATGTCCAGGCCCGTCTGAAGGTTCCCCTGCTCCAGTCATCACATGTCCAGGCCCGTCTGAAGGTTCCCCTGCTCCAGTCATCACATGTCCAGGCCCGTTCTGAAGGTTCCCCTGCTCCAGTCATCACATGTCCAGGCCCATCTGAAGGTTCCCCTGCTCCAGTCATCACATGTCCAGGCCCGTCTGAAGGTTCCCAATGACCATCTGGATGATCCAGAGGAAGCATCGGGAGAAAGTCATGTGGTCAGAGGAGACCAAAGTAGCACCCGAAGCACACAGCCCAGGAGAACCAAGGAGTGGCTCCGTAAGAAGCATATCGAGGTTCTGGAGTGGTTCCTAGCCAGTCTCAGGACCTAAATCCAATAGAACATCTTTGGAGGGAGCTGAAACTCCGTGTTGCTCAGCGACAGCCCCGAAACCTGACAGATCTAGAGGAGATCGGTGTGGAGGAGTCGGCCAAAATCCCTGTTGGAGTGCAAACCTGGCCAAGGACTACAGGAAACGTCTGACCTCTGTAATTGCAGACAAAGGCTTCTGTACCAAATATTAACACGGATCTTCTCAGGGTTCAAATACTTCTGTTCAGCCCATGCGAGACAAATACATTCTTTACAAATCATACAATGTGATCTCCTGAATTCTGTCCTCAGAGTGGGAATCCCCTGCAATGTGAATGTCAGACCCTCCATGATGGAGAAGTGGGAGAACTTGCAGAATCGCAGGGGGTTCAAATACTTCTGTTCTCACTGTAAATTAGAATACAATGTATACAGATCCTCTATATATAGAATGCAATGTATACAGATCCTCTATATATAGAATACAATGTATACAGATCCTCTATATATAGAATACAATGTATACAGATCCTCTATAATATAGAATACAATGTATACAGATCCTCTATATAGAATACAATGTATACAGATCCTCTATATATAGAATACAATGTATACAGATCCTCTATAGAGAATACAATGTATACAGATCCTCTATAGAGAATACAATGTATACAGATCCTCTATATAGTGCAATGTATACAGATCCTCTATATATAGAATACAATGTATACAGATCCCTCTATATATAGAATACAATGTATACAGATCCTCTATATAGAATACAATGTATACAGATCCTCTATATATAGAATACAATGTATACAGATCCTCTATAGAGAATACAATGTATACAGATCCTCTATATATAGAATACAATGTATACACAGATCCTCTATATAGAGATACAATGTATACAGATCCTCTATATAGAATACAATGTATACAGATCCTCTATATATAGAATACAATGTATACAGATCCTCTATATAGAATACAATGTATACAGATCCTCTATATATAGAATACAATGTATACAGATCCTCTATATATAGAATACAATGTATACAGATCCTCTATATATAGAATACAATGTATACAGATCCTCTATATATAGAATGCAATGTATACAGATCCTCTATATAGAATACAATGTATACAGATCCTCTATATAGAATACAATGTATACAGATCCTCTATATATAGAATACAATGTATACAGATCCTCTATATATAGAATACAATGTATACAGATCCTCTATATATAGAATACAATGTATACAGATCCTCTATATATAGAATACAATGTATACAGATCCTCTATATATAGAATACAATGTATACAGATCCTCTATATAGAGAATACAATGTATACAGATCCTCTATATATAGAATACAATGTATACAGATCCTCTATATATAGAATACAATGTATACAGATCCTCTATATATAGAATACAATGTATACAGATCCTCTATATAGAATACAATGTATACAGATCCTCTATATAGAATACAATGTATACAGATCCTCTATATAGAGAATACAATGTATACAGATCCTCTATATATAGAATACAATGTATACAGATCCTCTATATATAGAATACAATGTATACAGATCCTCTATAGAGAATACAATGTATACAGATCCTCTATATAGAATACAATGTATACAGATCCTCTATATAGAATACAATGTATACAGATCCTCTATATATAGAATACAATGTATACAGATCCTCTATATATAATACAATGTATACAGATCCCTCTATATATAGAATACACAATGTATACAGATCCTCTATATAGAATACAATGTATACAGATCCTATATAGAATACAATGTATACAGATCCTCTATATATAGAATACAATGTATACAGATCCTCTCTATATAGAATACAATGTATACAGATCCTCTATATAGAATACAATGTATACAGATCCTCTATATATAGAATACAATGTATACAGATCCTCTATATATAGAATACAATGTATACAGATCCTCTATATAGAATACAATGTATACAGATCGTCTGGTGGACCGGAAATCGCTGAGTAATGCTGAGTGATCATCCCTTACATCGTATTCACACTCCGGTCCCCGCCCCTTATAAACCGTCAGCAGTTACTTCCCGCCCCCGATTCTGCAAACCAATCAGCTAGCAGTTTCCCCGCCCCGTCCATCCCTCCCCCAATGTCTACACTGAGCTGTGTCCCCGCCCCCGTCCGTCCCTCCCCGTGTCTACACTGAGCTGTGTCCCCGCCCCCCATCCCTCCCCTGTCTACACTGAGCTGTGTCCCCGCCCCCGTCCCCCTCCCCGTGTCTACACTGAGCTGTGTCCCCGCCCCCGTCCATCCCTCCCCGTGTCTACACTGAGCTGTGTCCCCGCCCCCCCCCGTCCATCATTCCCCGTTGTCTACACTGAGCTGTGTCCCCGCCCCCGATCCATCATTCCCCCAGTGTCTACACTGAGCTGTGTCCCCGCCCCCTGCCTACACTCTACAGCCCAGTGTCCCCGCCCCCTGACGACCCCGCCACCTGTATAAACACATACCTCTCCCCGCCGGGCCACCAGTGCGGAGTGCGATGCTGATTCCGGGCGCGAGCTGAGTTTTGTGTCAACTCTCCGGGGACTTGCATAAGCCAGAAGATTACTGAACGCACCGTACAGAGACCGGCCAGGAGTTGGAGGGTAATGTAATACTGAGGGGCCCTTGGACTCTACTCTGCTCATAGTGAGGGGCCCTTGGACTCTGCTCTTGCTGGAGGGGCCCTGTTGCTCTGCTCATAGTGAGGGGCCCTTGGACTCTGCTCTGCTCATAGTGAGGGGCCCTTGGACTCTGCTCTGCTCATAGTGAGGGGCCCTTGGACTCTGCTCTGCTCATAGTGAGGGGCCCTTGGACTCTGCTCTGCTCATAGTGAGGGGCCCTTGGATTCTGCTCTGGTTATAGTGAGGGGCCCTTGGACTCTGCTCTGGTTATAGTGAGGGGCCCTTGGACTCTGGTTATAGTGAGGGGCCCTTGGACTCTGGTTATAGTGAGGGGCCCTTGGACTCTGCTTGTCTCTACATTGAGAGGCCCCCAGACTCAGCTCCGTTTGCCCTGATTTTAGGCTCCCATCAGTCTCTTCTTGGTCAGGTTGTCCTCCAGGAGCTCTCGGATTGCCTCAGTGGAGGGCATCTACCCCACCATGGAGGGCCCGGAGCCAGCAGAGGGGGAGCACGTCCTCAACCTCTCCCGCCTCGGCCTGGACAACCTGAACCTGGAGCAGATGACAGACGATCGGAAGAAGGAGGTCCAACACCTGCTGCTGCCCCACAACCGCCTGGTGGTCCTCCCCCTTGCCGTGGCATCTTTCTCCCAGCTCTCCCTCCTGGACATCAGCAACAATAGCATGGCTTACATCGGGGAGGAGATTCTGGGGCTCACCAGGCTGAAGACCCTTCTGGCCAAGAACAACCGGCTGGATGAGTTCTCATTACCCAAAGAGTTGGGCACCATGAAGCTGGAGATGCTGAACCTCAGTGGGAACCAGTTTGAGGAGATACCCAGCCAGATCCTCCAGATACAGACCCTGAATACCCTGTCCATGGGGGGCAACAGGCTCAAGAGCATCCCGGTTGAGATCGAGAACATGATCAGGTAAGTTGGTTGGCCTGGTGGCATGTATTGGGTTGGTAAGAAGAGGTATGTTAGTTGGCTGGGGGGGTCACGTATTGGTTGGGCAAGGAGGAGTAAGTTGATTCACGTATTGGTTAGGTAAGAAGGGGTAAGTTGGTTGACTGGGTGCCATGTATTGGGTGGGCAATGAGGGGTGAGTTGGTTGACTGGGTGCCATGTATTGGGTGGGCAATGAGGGGTGAGTTGGTTGGCTGGGTGTCATGTATTGGGTGGGCAAGGAAGGGTGAGTTGATTGGCTGGCTGTCATGTATTGGGTGGGCAAGAAAGGGTGAGTTGATTGGCTGGGTGTCAGGTATTGGGTGGGCAAGGAAGGGTGAGTTGGTTGGCTGGGTGTCACGTATTGGGTGGGCAAGAAAGGGTGAGTTGATTGGCTGGGTGTCAGGTATTGGGTGGGCAAGGAAGGGTGAGTTGGTTGGCTGGGTGTCAGGTATTGGGTGGGCAAGGAAGGGTGAGTTGGTTGGCTGGGTGTCACGTATTGGGTGGGCAAGGA